GCCGCGGGGGGGCACAGAGAGGGCCCCCCAGCCATACCTCGCTCAGGGGCATGGGGGGCTGGCGGGGCAAGAAGAGCGCTGTGAGGTCTGCCTTCATCTGGTCCTTCTTCTCAGCATCCTTGCGGACCTTGCCGGCGAGGCCGCCCTCCTGCAGCACCGTCTCGGCATTGCGAGTGTAGTCCACATGCAGGACATCGTCCCAGTTCTTGAACTTGGACTTGAACACCTAAATCAGGGAGCAGGTAACACACCCTAGGCCACAGCACCCTCCCTGAGGGGTCTGTGCCCCCGTCTCCCTCCCTGGCACTGTTCCCCAGGGGGTCCGTGCCTGTTCACAGGGATGTGGGCTGCCCCACCTGGCACTCGGTGCCCTCCAGGTTCCTGGTGACCATGGCGTGCTTGGGCCGGTGCAGCATGCCACACAGCTCCGGTCGCGGTTGCATTGCGCCTGCCCGCACCAGCCGTGGCGACTTCCTCCCGATCCAGATGAAGACGTCGGACCAGCAGTCCAGGATGTACACGCTCTTGGTGTCCAGCAGGCTCTGCAGCTGAGGGCACCACAGGGAAAAGAGGGTCAGGCACCCATGGGCCTTCCCGGCTGGAAAATGCCCTGCCCGCTCCCAAAAGACAGGCGGGAAGAGCAGGGCATCCCCCACCTGGGGCACCGCTGGCCGAACCTGCCTCTCCCAGGGCACATCTGGAGGCAGAGGGGGCACAAAACCAGTCTCACTGGTCAGACTGGGAGAACCTCCCTGCCCCATCCTACCAGGCGCATCTCTGGCATCAGATCAGCCTTCAGCCTCTTCTTGTGCTCCACTGAGAGCTTGTAGTTGATCTGGGGCAGCTCCAGGTAGCCCAGCCCCAGGCCGACCTGTGGGGGGGGAAGGGGACATGGGTGAGGGGGACTGCGGGGCCCCGGCAGTGCCGACAGCCCTGCAGACGGCAGCTCCCCACCTTGTACAGCTTGGGCTTGTGGGGCTGGAAGTCATCGGGGACGCAGGGCCGGATCTCCTCGGGCTGCCCCCCCAGGGTCTCCCAGAAGTCGGGGGTCTCCTGGCCCTGGGTGAGCAGCGTGATCTCCGCCTTGCCCTTCCGCTCGTTCTTATTGATCTTCTCGGCAAAGAGCCTGCGGCAGGAGCGGGTGAGATGGCAGGTGGGCTCCCTGCACCCCCAGCCCCCCGACCAGCCCTACCTGGCCTTGGTGGTGCTGCTCAGCGTGGCCTGGCTCCCACGCCACACAAAGAGGTTGAGGCCGTGGTCCAGGAGGAAGACGAACCTGGTGGATATAGAGGTGAGAGGATGGTCAGGAGAGAGTGGGGTGTGTGTCCACCCTCCCCACCACGGGGGTCCTTGTGGAGCAGGGCACCACGGCTGCTGGGGCTGCCAAGTGGGGTTTGGACCCACATCCTTGTAGAAAGGTGCTGGCACAACCGATTTTCACCCCAGAGCTGCAGCTACGACATCTTGGGTGTACCCTGCCAGCACCCTGTCCCTCTGCAGTGCCCTGGCCACTCCCTCCCTGCTCACCGGGGGTCCAGCGATGTCCCTTTCAGTGCCACTGGCTCCAGCTTCACGTTCTTCTTCCCATAGACACGGTACAGCCTAGGGGAGGGACAGCCACAGTGGGACATGGGGCACCACCTGCCCCACGCATCCCCCTAATCCTGGCCCCAGTGGTACCTGGTGACGTAATGTGTGTCCTCCACAGTGAAGAAGCCGCTGGCCGTGCCGCCCTCGATGTAGGAGATGTCGTTGTCGAAGACCTGGGGGCAGGGAGGGGGTGAAGGTGGGAGAGGCAGGGCTGGGGGCTGCGGTGGGGATGGGGGTCGGCCTCACCTGGAGGAACTCGTCGCTCTCGTCCCCCATCTCCTCCCGGATGCTGCAGCATTCAGCACCCAGGTAGTTGCGGATTCAGCACCCAGGTAGTTGCGGAGGTTGACAGCATGGATGGCGGAGCAGGCCTTCTTGTCCAGCGTGGCCTCCTGCCCGATCCAGTAGTAGATCTCCCAGTTGAGGGAGCCGTTCTCATCCAGGAAGGTCTGGGAAGGGACAGGGGGTGAGATGGGACGGCCGCAGCCCTGGGCTGGGGACGTGGGGGACCCTCGGTCCTGCCCAGGTACCTTGAGCACGATGTAGCAGTCGGCCTCATAGAACTTGCCATGGAAAGCCTCATCCACCAGCGTAGGCACGAAGTTCTCAATCTGCCAGACGCAGAGGCCGGGCAGCTGCCCCACGTCCTCGCTGAAGAACTCCGAGTAGTCCAGCTGTGGCTTCTCCAGGGCCCGGTCCCAGCGGGCAGGTCTGATGCCTTCGCCTCCCCGCTCTCCTGTAGGGATGGGGACAGGTCACTGAGCTGGGGGACATCAGGTCCCTGCCAGCACCCAGGGTGGGCCAGGGGCACCACGGTGCTGCTCAGGACCCCTCTCCCACCCCAGACCCTACCTCTATCTTCTTGTTCTTCTCCTGGGCCACGTCCGACATCCCCTTCAGCACCTGTTTGGCCTGGTCGTCCTGGGCAGAGTCCTTGCGCCGCCGGAGCCGCATCTTGCGGGCCAACGGGTCCTTGGTGCCGCTCCCTGGGGACAGGGAGACAGGGTGTGAGGTGGCCAGGACACCCATGCCTTGCGTGGGGCTCAGCTCATTTCCCAGCCTCTCCTAGCGCTCTGCCCAAAGCAAGAGCCGTCCCCCACGTCTCTGCACGCTTGCCTGCTGCGGCGGCTGCAACGGTGGCTGGGGAGGCTCCGGCCAGGCGGAGCTGGTTCTGCAGAGAGAAGTCGATGTTGTACCACTCCGACGTCCGATCCACTGGCTTCGGGGGCATCACCAGGTTGGGGTTCTCGCGCACGTCCAGGATCTGCCGAGGAGGGAATGGGAGGATTCACCGCTCTGAACCATGGGCTCGTGGGGACCCTGAGGATGTGGGGTAGGACAAGAGACCTCTGGACCACCCTGGGCTTTGGTGAGGTGATGTGGAGGGAGCCCCAAATCCACCACCTGCCTGGGCTGAACCGTGTGCCAGACTGCCTGTATTGGCCCCAAGATGCCCTGTCCTTACCTCACCCCATTCCACCCTACAGCCCTGGGATCCCAGGGACATGCTGGGGCTGTGGTCAACCCAGCCCGAGGCGGAGGGAGTGTTGGGCTCTCACCTCCACGTCCGTCAGGAAGTGGATGGCCTCTGGTAGCGTCACCAGGCGGTTCTTGTTCAGCACCAGCTTCTTCAGCTTGGAGCACCTGTGGGACACTCCGTCAACACACAGCCTCTGCGTCCCCTCTTCAGGGCTGAGCAGATCCAGTTGTGGGATGTCTCCTACCTGCACAGGCTCTCGGGGATGAGCTCCAGGTTGTTGTTGGCTGCCATGAACTCCTCGAGGTTGACGAGCTTGCCAATGCCTGAGGGGATCCCATCAAAGTCGAGCTTGTTGGAGTTCAGGTACATCTTCTTCAGCTTGGTCAGCTTGCAGATGGCTGACTGGTAAAGGAGAGGGTGGGGTGAGGGAGAACCCTGTGGCATGGAGGCACGGGCAGGGACCCCATGTATGGGCAGGGACGTACAGGCAAGGAGGTGAGCTGGTTGCGGGACAGGTTGAGGGTCTCCAGCTGGGTCCACTGGTCAATGCAGAGGGACAGCTCCGTGATCTGGTTGCTGCTGAGGTTGAGGCGCCGTAGGCTGCCCAGTGTGTAGAGGCACTCAGGGACACGGCTGAGGTCGTTGCAGGACAGGTCCACATCTGGGGGAAGACAACGGGGTGACGCTGCCGGCCAGACCCATGCCAGGGCCGAGAGAGCCCCTGGAGGGCCCTGTACACCGTGGGGCTGGGTACCCCGGCCCTACCTGCCAGGTTCACCAAGCCCTCGAGGCTCGTGGGCAGGTTGCTCTGCGTGCGCTGGGTGTTCCTGAGGTGGAGGGTCTGCAGGGCCGTCATCGCTGGGAGCTGCCTGCGGGCCACGGAGAACCACAGTGTAGAGGCGGCGTCAGGGCTGGAAGCAGGCACCCAGCCCAGCCCCAGCATTGTGGGATCCAGCCTGGAAAACGGGGCCTTACCGGAGCTGCGCGTGCAGGAGGGGGTTGTTGTTGAGGATGAGAGTCTGGAGGTGGACCAGGCGTCTCATCTGTGGTGGGAGGCTCTCCAGCTTGTTGTTGCTCAAGTCAAGGTAGAGCAGGTCCGTCAGGTTGATGAAGAGCTGGTTGGGGATGGTCTCGATGCTGTGGGGATATAGGCATCTTCAGGGATACCTGGAACCTGCACCAGCCCTGGGTTCCCTCCCGGAGAGGGGCAGAGACCCGGAGTGAAGGGAGGTGATGGATGGAGGTGGCCATGGCCAGGGGGAGGTGGCTGCCCTGACCCTGACCCAGACCCACCTGTTGTGGCCGAGGTTGAGGACCAGCATGTTCTTGGCATTCTCCAGTTCCCGGGGACACTCTGTGAGCTGGTTGTAGCTCAGGTCCTGGGGCAAACAGGAGAGCAAAGCAGGCATCGCCCTCTGCCCCACATCCAGCAACCACCACCCAAACCCCAGAACCGAGGGGCATCTCTGGGGGCACGGCCTGCCTACGGCCATGCTGGGCCTTGCCCTGCGGATCGGTGCCCAGCAGCCAGAGCTGTATGAGCACATGGGG